GTGCAAATTAGGCAGGAAAAATGCCAATTAGTTGAAGTGCCTTTCATGTAGGTTGAAGAGACTGGCAATATTTCCCACGCCATGTTCTTGATGGGGATGTGGAGTAACTTTATCAAAATCGTCTTCCTATCCAAAGTTTTTGTTCCCAGTGCAGGTGAGATTATTTGCTCTGTGTTTCAGGAAGTAAGCGCTTTTATCAGCCTATATGCACAAAGCGGTTTGAGCATAGTTACGTAACTAAAAGGCAACATATGAAGTAGGAAGTCAGCAAGTACAAGATACAATAATATAATGCATCCAATCAACTTTGTGTATATTCTTGACAAAGAGAGCCAACTTCAGGAAACAAAGGCGAAATGTTTGCTGAAATCTTCATGAACCCAGCTCACTTCCGTGTGTAACTCACAACGTTTTTTTTAATTTCACTTGGAGAAAATTGCATAAGAATAGTAGGTCAGTTTAGTGGAAGAGAGTAAAGTTGATCAGAATCTTTCAAAGAAAGTTATAAAATAGTCAAAAATTTCGTCCATCGCAATAAATGTAAAGGAATTACCACTGACAAACTTCGTCGTTAGATGGTCTCTGCTTGTGTTCGGGATTGATTTAAATTTGATAATCATCATTCTTGTTCCGCCTTGTCTGCCTCAACAGATCCCGATTATCATAATATATGCCAAGAGTATACATCAAGAAACCAACCGTAAAATACGACTTACGTACTCCGCACAAATAATCCTAAATGTGTTCGAGCTTCTCGGTAAAAAAGCGGATTAAAGATTACTTGACGAGATATGTGTTCCAACCAGATATACGAAAGATCTCTATATTTTAAGACTGTTTTCGATTTTGCTCCTATCACAGTTTTTCAGCTTGTTTCGGATGTGAAAACACCACTGCACGATAATATTGCAATCATGCCACGTATTCGGTACATTTAGAGAAAAAAGCCAAAAAATAAAAGAGTAAAACAAAAGCACAATATTTTGAGTCACCAGCATCGAACACTGCTTACTGCACTGTCATTTTTTATTTTGAATTTTTCATAGCCAGCCATCTCTGTCAACAATTCTCTCGCATAGCATCAAAAATTACTCCCGTAAATTCCATGCACAGAGATGAATCATGGCTAGGGGGAAGTTTCTTGGTTTCGAACCTCTACTACAGTGAAACCATTGCGAAATTTGAAAGACTTGACTCAGACCCACGAACTTAAAATTTTCATGGCCAAAATCTGACATTCTATTGATGAAGCATAGGTTTAATAATTCACCAATCGTGAGTTTTAAGTAATTGTCTGTGGTAAAAATATTGAATCATTGGCAGGTACAAGAACCCTAAAGGCTAGGTAGATTTTCGTTTTCATTTGTTTTGCAGTGTCCCAGCCTGGTTTCACAAGAGAGCCTTCTTCTCCATCCAATGTTTTGGAGGGTAATGGGTTATTTCTGCAGTGGAACTACACTCTCGGTGGAGCGTTTCGAGAAGCTGAGTTTATGCTGATAAGATCAATTGCAATAAGTGTCACAGAACGCAGTGCATCAGACGCACAAGCTTTTATATTTCCAGATTACCAAGGAAGGGTGGAAGCAAATATAACAGCGACACAGACAAACATTACGTTGCCTTTGCTAACCAGAGCAGATGCTGGAAGTTATGCATTTCAAGTAGCCCGCGAACCAGACCGAAGGACGTTTACTAGCTCAGTGACAATTACAGTGCAGTGTAAGGTTTTTTTGTTTGTTTGTTTGTTTGTTGTACTGTTTCAGTATGAGCGATACGATTTACAAACTCAAGGAACAGTTTTTCTCTGTCCTTTGTTTAAAACAATTTCATAACTCTATGGTGGCTTGCTGATATAATTATTCGCGAACTTTGCTCAACATCGTCATATCTATTCATTAGACAAGGCAAGTACATGTGATGATCTATGAAAGCGACAAACATACATCATGCAAGGTTAAATAGACATAGCTGTGAGTTTGTACTTTGTTTAATAGTACACCAGAAATTAACATTACTATTGCGGATGTAGTATCTAGCAAAGGTGGTCCCGGTGTTACATCAGAGTGAAGATCGGCCTTAATGACAACGTAGATTAAAAAAAGGTTTCACGCGACCTAATTTAAAAGCATGCTAATACTGGTAACACACCATTACAAGCTGTATAAGTATTAAGCGTACTTGTAACTTTTTCAGTTGTTCATTTTTCCCTCTTTTTTTTTTTTAATCAGATCCACCAGAATTAACTAGTGTCAGTGATGATGTAGTTGTTAGTGACAGTGACCCCAGTATTACTTTCGAGTGTACCGCAGATGGGGAACCAACACCAAACATCACCTGGACCAGAGTATATGCTAACGGAAGTGACAGTGATATACTGGCAACTGGGAATCAGTTTGTCCTCGAAAACAATAGAAATAATAGCGGAACATATCGCTGTCAAGCATCTAATGGAATAGGAACTGCACCAAATCGCACAGTGGAATTCGATTTTTGTCGTGAGTACTTGTGGTGTATGACGAATTAATGCATTCAGTAACTTAATGCTAAATTATAAGGAGCTTCTGTGGATGCTCACATCTAAATTTCTTTGAGACTTTTTTTCAGCCAACTCAACACAGGGAGTATTAGCTATCAATAGACAAGTTAAGCGAGCCTCACTTAAAAGCCCTTGAGGCTAACTGTAATATTGAAAAAGCATACACATTTTCCAAGTAGCTCTGCAATTTCTCACTTTGGGTCATCAGACTAAGCAAGAGTGTACACCGTATTTCCATCCTAGAGGACAAAGTTGTATCACTACTCTGTCTCTGGTTCTCATCTTTTTGTCTTTTTTGCCATATTGGAAAAAAATGTATGACAATAATGATCAAGATTATGAGGAATTCTTCAATCGATTTAAAATAGAATGATTTCCCTTACGACCCGTGTTCAACTGTGGATGAACTCTGCTCCTTGAGGAGATCACGGTTAAAGGTCAGCTAAGCGTCAACTTTGTATTTACACTTAGTATGCTAGTAAATAGTTTTTTTCTCTGTTTCATATTTTAGGACCTTCGTCCATACAGGAAATACAACCTCATAATGTAACTGAAGGTAGCAATGTGACTCTGCTGTGTAATGTATCTGGAATCCCTTCACCAACGGTGTCTTGGATGAGTCCTGACGGTCAGCGTCTGATTGGATACATGTTGGAGGTTACAAAAATTAACAGGAGTGAAGCTGGTGAATACAAATGTGAAGCCAGTAATAAGTGTGGCAATGCAACAGAGACAGCAAGCATTGATGTGCAATGTAAGTAAAATTTCGTTCTTTACATTATGATTTTCTTCCATTTCTTTATCACAGTACAATAATTTACATTCCTGTCCTTTGTTTCTTGTGCAGAGTTGTTTATTTGAAGCTTACATATTGCAAACGCTTCTCAGGGTTAAAAGGCACCTTGCTAATTGCAGGAGACCTAGCCCAAAGTTTACTTTGCCTCAGTCACATGTAGCTAAATAAAGAATTAGCTAAATAGCTGTGGAACAGTGCTGAGAGAAACGTTACCGATACACAAATGTAAGCATTCAATTAGCCAGGGAAAGAGAGTGACTCCTTGGCTGCTATACATTACACATACCAAGGCATGGGAATTATCGTTTATAAATTGTCTCCTTTTTTAGACAAACCAGAAAATGTCCAGTTAATGGCTTCTGCCATGAATAGCAAAGCTTGTAAGGGAAAATTCATCAGATTTAACTGCTCAGCTGATGCTAATCCAGCGGTAACGTCGTACCAGCTGTTCGAGAACGAAAGTGCCATTTTAGACACAAGCCCTTCAGGAATGTGGAATAGGACTTTGGAATATGAAGGGGTGTTTGTCTACAAATGTGTGGCAAACAACACTCTCGGATCAAGATACAGCACAAGTGTTACTGTCACTGTGAACGGTAAGTAAAGCAGCCTTTTTAAAGTGTGCCTGTCTGTAGATATTTTGCTTCGGCTGAATTCAGTAAGCTGTATATCAGTGCACCCAGAGGGCTTGCCCGTGAGTGTACCTAGGCGTGTACGCGCACTATCTAAGAAAAAGTGTTAAGTTGACATTTTGCTTAATTTGCTTAATTTGCTTTACTAGTATGCAGACAACCTAGGATCTTTGAGGATTTTTTGGGCTGCTTATTCAACTTTATTTTTAGCTTTTTTTGACTTGCTTTTTTTGTCTTCTGTCTTATCATTGCGTTACATTTACAGTACCTTCTTCAATAACTCAAGTAACACAGCATCAGAATGTAACCGAAGGTAATAATGTGACTCTGTCTTGTAATATATCCGGAATTCCTCCACCAATGGTGTCTTGGATGAGTCCCGATGGGCAGCATCATTATGGATACAAGTTGGAGGTAAAAGGCATAAACAGGAGTCAAGCAGGTGAATACAAATGTAAAACCAGTAATGAGTGTGGCAATGCAACAAAGGAAGCAAGCATCGGTGTGCTGTGTAAGTGGAACAGTTTCTTCTTCCTGAAAATTTCATGTTTGTCAGTATTTTTAATGAATCAATACACTGACAATAGTTACACGTATTAGTACATGTATAACGCCCATGAGCAAGTTCTGTATGAATTGAAATTAAGTTATCAATAATTTAAAATAGATTAGTGTATGCAGTTTTCGTTAGAGTCAATCCTCTCTGATACAGACAACAAAGGGGAAGAGTAACCAAGTCTCGTCATCTTTTCTGACATTCGTGTATCAAGTTAAGTCATGGTCAACTACTTCATCAAATTATCAATCAATTTTATTTCTGATCCACCTTTTTTGTATGAATTATTTAACTGTGGGGAGTTTTCTTCTATCCACAGCATTTGACGTAGTTTGTATGTAATTATTATAGATAAACCAGAGAATACGCAGTTGACAACATCTGCTACGGATATCAAAGCATGCAAGGATGACACCATTAGCTTCAACTGCTCAGCTGATGCTAATCCATCGGTGACGTCATACCAGCTGTTCGAAAACGACTCTGCTATCTTAGACGCAAACCCTTCAGGATTTTGGAATAGGAACTTGTCAACGAGCGGAGTGTTCATTTACAAATGTATGGCCAACAACTCTTTAGGATCAGACGTCAGTTCATCTGTAATTGTCACAGTAAATGGTAGGCTTTATTCTGTAGCCAGGCTCTTTTTTTTTATTCACTTGCTAATTTGTATCTTTCAGCTAGCTGCGCTGCATATTAGTACAAACTCTTTAATGTTTATACCCTGGTCACTTTTAAAAGGGTCGAGTGGAGATTGGAGGCTTTTTAGACTTGGATAAGAGGCGGAAAACGTTTGAGCATTACCTTAATTCATGGTAAATAAACTTCAGGGAAATTCCAATGCGTGTCTCAATAACTTTCAATACTTACACGTTCACCAGTGGCCTTAAATGAAAAACAAAAAGCGAACTATATTTGGTTAGTCAGTTCTTAGGAGCAAAGCAAGGTAATGTGACGAAGGCTTTAAATGCAATGTACATTGCATTGTACAGGTAATTCAAGTTGTGAATGAATTTTTACAGGGATATATGTTTCAGAAATGTAACGTTTATAGCATTACTTATTCATCGGCTTAACCTTTTAAATTTGAAATCTTTAGTTTGTATTTTTCTACAGTGCCTTCATCTATTGAAACACTACACGATCAGAATGTAACTGAAGGTGGCAATGTGACTCTGACGTGTATTGCAGCTGGAATGCCTCCACCAATGGTGTCTTGGATTAAGTCTGATGGTCAGAGTATTGCTGGGAATGTGTTGGAGCTGATGAATATCAGTAGGGTTGAAGCTGGAGAATACAAGTGTGAAGCCATTAATGAGTGTGGCAATGAGACAAAGACAGCAAGCATTGATGTGCAGTGTAAGTAATTGCCAGTTCTACGTTGCAAATCTATTTTATAATTACTTCTTCAAGTCAGCATTTAAGTTTTGTAACTTCATTATTCCCTAAGGGCTAATTTCCCCTACAAAGGTAGGTTAAGATTACTCGGGATTATTATAAAATTGAATCAAGACTTGAAAGCTTTAAAAGAAAAGTCAGTTTAATTCCATTCGTCTACAATTTCATTATTAAATGCTGCGAAAAGAATTGGGAAAATCATCCCAAACAGCTTTTAAAGAGATAATTATAGAAACGCATATTAAAATTTAACCCTCGGTTGGCGCCAATCGGCCTTCAAACAACCGGGCCGTGGTAAAGTAAAGTGAGTTAAATGATCATATGGCAAGATTTGGGAATCCAACCGGTAATCAGTTCAAACTATTGGAACTTAATATTGATGATTGCATTTTTGTTTTCAGTCAAACCAGAGAATGTGCAATTGTCAACCTCCATCATCAATAGCAAAGCATGTCTAAATGATGTTATCAGCTTCAACTGTTCAGCTAGTGCTAATCCATCTGTGACTTCCTATCAGCTGTTTGAGAATGGGACTGCTATCTTAGACACGAGCTCACTAGGAATTTGGACCAAGATTTTGGAAGATAGCGGAGTGTTTGTCTACACATGTGTGGCTAATAACACTTTGGGAACAGCATCTCATACAACTTTTGCTGTTACTGTGAATGGTTCGCATTTATCGTTGTATTTTGTAATTCTTGTGTATTGGAAACCACCAATTTTATATAGTTTAAAATTAAAAAAATACATATATTTCTGTTTGTCTCGGGATATACCCATTCTGAGGCGAATGGAACATTTTGAGTAGATTCTGTCAAACTGCCAACCGCTGAGTGTTTCGGGGGATCAAGGTTGCTTGAGTACAAAGCTACTTATTTTAAGAAGTAAGATGGTCTGAATGCTTAATTTTCAAAAACGTTCATCTTCTTCTTGTCGGACACATGCTCAATATCTCACTTAAATTTCTCTCGCAGTGCCGTCATCTATACAAGCAAGAGATAATAAGACAGTCACTGAAGGTGACAGTGTGACTCTTCTGTGTAACGTATCTGGAATACCTTCACCAATGGTTTCTTGGAGGACACTTAATGGCCAGCTTCTTAGTGTGCACATGCCAAATGGCCAGCGTCTTAATGAGTACATGTTGGTAATTTTAAACATTAGCAGGAGTGAAGGTCGTAAATACATATGTGAAGCCACCAATGAATGCGGCAACTCGACAGAGGCAGCTAACATTGATGTGCAGTGTGAGTAAAAATTTCGCTTTTTTGCATGTTAATTTTCCTATATTCGTCAGTATAATATTTCATGATTACATATTACCTAGAGTTCGTACTTCACGTTTTAAATCGACTCTTGTAAATAGATGTCTTTTTAGCATTGTCTGCCATTAATAGTTAGTTTTATTTTCTATCTTAATCTGTTTTATATTTCATTCTTTGTAAATAATGACATGGCTGACGTGTTATTGCTTTTATTAAAGATCATCATTATCATTAATATTATTATTATTATTATTTGCTTTCTCGACTTTTATCTGTAGGTCGTTTTTGTTATCAAAGT